TGGCTGCAGGCAATCCAAGAGGGTGACCAGGCGGTGGAGAAGCTCATCGAGGAGGCTGACAAAGAACAATTAAAAGAGGATGGCGAGTCAGACAAGAAAGCAGGAACAACAAGCGACGACGTGGAAGCTTTGGCTCGCGCCGGGCCATGCCACGGCTACCAGGCGCTGAAGTCCTTCTACACTCTCAAGGCCTTTGGCCTCAAGTTTCGATCGTGCAAATCTGCGGAAGAGATTAAGGCAGTCCAGGAGCTTGGGCACGCAGGGAAAAAGCAGACAGGTGTGCTTTCGTCCGCTGTCAAGATTGCGCTGTCTGACTTGCAAAACGCCAAGAAGCGGGTTGAGACGCAGAAGAAAAAGGAAGAGGAGAAGGAGAAGAAGGCAAAGGCCAAAGCACAGACCCTTGATGCGAGGCTTCTTGATCCGCCAGTAAACGCAGCTCGCAGGAAGTCAGCAAACGCAGGGCACGCGTTGCTTGACACTTCGGCCAAGGTGTGGGATGACGAAGGCAACCGCATCCCATCTTCCTTTCAGTGGCAAAGTGGCTGGGGCCTTGACAAGCCCTGGATTATCAGCAATGCCAAATTGCCAGAAGCCGTGGGCGCGCGACTTGGTGAATTTGGAACAGTGTTCGCGTCGTCAAGCCTTCGAGTTACAGAAGGCAGAGCGCATTGCCCAATGTCAGAGGAGCTGACAAGTCAAGTGCACCAAATGTTGCAGGGCAATGCTGCGCTGCGTGATGGGTGGCTGCTGGGAAAGTGTGGCGTGGAATCCTTGCAAGCAGCGCAGGCCCCCAGACGGGTGAAAGAATTGATGAAAGAAACCACCTTTGGAATTGCCAGCTCTTCAAGTTCCATTGCAAGATTCGAACTTGACCTGTTCCCATGCCTTCGTGTGGTCCACAAGGGCTCAATGCAGGTTGCGCTTTGGGCTATGAAGCAACCAAAGGATTTGCCGCAGCAAGTGGAACTTGTGGCCAAGGCCACGCAGCAAGAGGTGGCTAATGCCTGCACGTCTGGCTCGGTGTCGTTTGGCACCATTGGCCCAGGGGATTGCTTGTACATCCCACCGGGATGCCTTGTGACTCACCTGGCGCACAGCGTGGATGTCCTGGGCGTTAGGCTGGGTGTTCTCCACGCTGGAATGGCTGACGGCTTTCAGGCCTTGCTGGACGCAAATCCCGGCCAACAAGCAAGAGGGCCTTTGAGTACCACGTTGCAGTTCTTGAAGCAGCTTGCCAGAGCGGCAGCCGGAGCCCAGGAATCCCCTTTGCAACCGCCCATTACAAATGGCAGCGAAGCAGAGAAGACAGAAAACGACCAGCAGGCGCGCGATACTTCAATTTGTCTTGGCACACCAGTTCTGGTCCTGGTAACAAAGTTTTAGCAACACGCTATTCATCACTTGGCAGTTGGCTTCTGTTGCAGTTTGCTTTCTCGTGCTATGATTGTTTGATGTTGTGTTGAGTTTGGAAAAATCAACTTTCATGTGAGAAACTGATCACCCTGGAAGGACAAGAAAGAGGACGTTGCGAAGAAGGCCGCTGCTGAAGACACCAGCGCAAATAAAGCAGCTGAGAGGCTGGCAGAAGAAGCAGGAGGAGCCAAAAAGGATGCCGACGAGAAGTTGACAGCAGAAGAAGAAGCAGCAAGGAAGAGTTCCATCGCAGAGGCTGAGGCCCAGAAGCAAGCAGCTGAGAAGTTGGCGGCGGAAGAGGAAAGAAAGAAGAAGGCTGAAGCTGAAGACGCAAAGAAGGCAGCAGCAAAGAAGTCGGCGGAAGAGGAAGAAGCAAGGAAGAAGAGTTTCTTGGAGGCTGAGGCCCAGAAACAAGCAGCTGAGAAGTTGGCAGCGGAACAGGAAAGACTGAAGAAGGCTGAAGCCGAACAGGCAAAGAAGGAAGCAGCAGAGAAGTCGGCAGCAGAGGAACGCGCAAGGAAGAAGAGTGCCTTGGAGGCTGAGGCCCAGAAAGAAGAAGCTGAGAAGTTGGCAGCGGAACAGGAGAGAAAGAAGAAGGCTGAAGCCGAACAGGCAAAGAAGGAAGCAGCAAAGAAGTCGGCGGCAGAGGAAGCAGCAAAGAAAAAGGCCTCAGCCGAAGCAAGCAAGAAGAAGCAGCAGGAGCAAGAAGCTCAAAAGACCAAGGATGACAAGAAGGGTGACAAAGGTGCCAAGGACACCAAAAAAGATAAGAAAGACAAGAAAGACAAGAAGGAGCGGTAGGGGTTGCCCTGCGCCAGAAGCTGGCTGGGTGTTGCGGGAGGCCCCAGCTGCGGGAGGCTCCGCAAAACTTGCGGGAGGATCCGCTACTTGCGCGTCGACAGGTGAGTCTTCGCTTGGCAAGGGGGAAGAAGCGCCAATCTTTGCGGGATACTTTACCTTGAGTGGTGAGCCAAAGGGGAGTTGTTGAGCTGTATTTATCCTGCGCAAGGGCCAGCCAGGGACAACCAGGGACCAAAACCACGAGGGTGCAGTGCGGCACACTTGCTTTCAAAGGGTTGGCCCTTGCTCGGGTCGGAATCTTATTTTGTTGGCCCTGTGGCCTGCTTAGCACGGGGTATGCTTCGCTGCAACGCGGCAAAAAGGATGGACGCCATCTGATTCCACCAGTCATGGCCCATGGTTTGGAGGTTGCAGCCCGGTTTTGAGATGGGATGCTGCTCGACCTTGTGGGAACCCATCGTATTTTCATATTCGGATCGGGCAGTACCACTTCCCATGTTACTTGTTTTTCAGCATGGTTTACATTGTATCTGATCAGTAGCCACCCCGGATAAGCCATTTGGAAATCCAACAGCTGAAAGGTCAAGAACTGCGATTGGTCCTTCAATGAAATAAGCTCCCTCTGAAAATCGGTCAAATGCGCCTGCCGCAGCAACACACGTCCGGTGACCTTGGTATTCAAGGTTTCGCCAAGCTGCATTTCCAGCTCCTGTAATGCAAGCTCCTTGTTTGCCACAAAGGTGGTAAAACTCTCGCCCTTCTGGCGGTCGCCCGCGTAGAAAAACTTGTCTACAGAGGATGGCCCTTGAATATCCAAATACGGCCTGTAGTAGTTGACCAAGGTAGAAAGGATCAATCCATATCCTTCCTCTGTCAGCATTTTCTCCACCGGGATAGAGTCCGCCAAACGTCTTGGAGGGGTCTTGTCCGTGAAACTCTGATACAGCTTCAAACCCCACCGCGCCTTCGGAAGCGTCGTCTCCAGCTCCCAATGGCTCAAGAGTTTCAGCCATGTCCTGAGTGACGATGGATTCCCATCCCACGCAGGCAAGCTCCTCTTCTCGCCAGATAAGGCATTCACCATTGCCTTGATCAGCTCGACTTGGCTTGGCTGCGCAGATGAGCTTGGTGCTCCCGTTGCCGCATTCGGCATTCCCAAAGCTGCACAAGCCGAGTCCACCTTCTGATTGCCAGCTGTATTCGCGGTCTGCTCAAAAAGTGCTCGTGTGGCTGCTTCGGCACCACCACATTGGTTTAATCCAGAAGGGTTCGCGCCAGGTTGAAAACCAGATGAGGATCCTACTGTTCGTGCAGCTGCATCTCCTTGGGCTCGTGAAAAGTTTCCCATGGGCGCCGAGGTAGCATAAAAACCAGGAGGGGGCCTTAAGCCAGCGCATCCAAAATTCTGCAAGCATCAGGGGCTGCCTGCGCAACCAATGTTCTGCATTGCACCATTCTGCATTGCACCAAGATTGCTCTGTCCTATACCGGAAAACTGCTGAGTCAAGCCGGTTGCGAAGCCAGATTGCGATACGCTTGAAGGATCAAATCCATGTCCAAGAGGAAAATGCATCCCTTGTGGGATTCCTCCTGAAGGCAAAACGCCACCCCAAGCTGCAAATGCTGGTCCGCCGCCGAATTGACAGCCTCGTGGATCCGGTGAAAACTGAGCGCCTTTGCCACCAAAATTGCCGTTTGGCAAGAAAGTGCCAGGCGAGGGCATCGTGCCCGTTGCAGATGAATTCGCTGGTGCCGTCCCTGACGGTGCGTCCTGAGCTCCTTGAGCATGAGCTCCTTGTGCTCCCTGAGCATGAGCTCCACCTCCCTGTGGGCCTCCAGCCTGGGCTGGGTTGCCACCGATCACCTGTCTGGCCAGATAGGCCGCCCAGGGATCCATGGCGCCAGCCGGACGTTGCCGGCTCCGCTACCAACTGACAGCAAAATGCCGCGTTAGCATCTTGTTTTGCTACGCATCCATGATAGCTCAAGGCCTGTTACGGCAGCGGGTGAACATATACACATCCAAGAGTCTCAAGGGTTCTGGCTTGACTCGCACACCGGTAAAAGGGCACTACTGGGGGACCTAGTTTTGCGTCACAAAGAACAGAGCCAGCGCCATCGGGGTACCAAACTAAACGATGTGCAACCAAACGAAAGGTGCGAGAGATGCAGGGAATGAGAAATGGAATGACCCCTAGAAGCAATTTTGTGTGGTTTCCTTTGGAACCTGGGTCCCACTGAGCACCAGCAAGACTAAGACCAAACTATATAACAAGGACACCGGTGGGGGGAACCCCCTTTTGGCTGCCTTTTGAAAGGGAATCCAAAAGGGAACAACCTTGGTGTTCCGATTCCTTTGCGACGTGAACCGTCACATTGACCTTTTGCCCAAACTCCCTGGGGCAGTTGCTGCTTTAAAGTTCAACTTGTGGGTTACATATGGAATATCCCCCCCCACTAAACCATCCATGAAACCGGGACGATGCGGTTTAAACGAGTGGTTCGGCTGCCGCCCAAATGCCAAACCGCCTGAGGCAGGGCTGTGGGAAACGATCACTTCTCTAATACAACAGAAAGGGCTGCCCAAAGTCCCAAAGACGAATGTTCTTCCTAAGGGGGCAATCCCTTGTATCACAGAAGTGGTTGGATAAATCGATAGACCCATTGATCCCACAACCGTGCGTTATAGATTGATCCCCCCCCAAACCATCTAAAACCATCCGCAACGCTGCGGGATTTATAAGCCAGTGGCAACCGTCTGCCCTGCCCGACCCGACAATCGGCGCCTGAGGGCATCTGCATCTTCTCCGGCGCGCAGGTCCATCCCCTGGGGCAACCGCAGGTGGCCCACTCGCCCTGCCGCAGCTGGGCCAAGCCCGCGGGGCAGCGGCGGCAGCCCCGGGTCAACGAGGCCTCCACAGCATCGAAATGCTTCCCCTCGCGGCCCGCCAGCTCCTCCTCGTGAACCAATTTGGGTGTGGCGTTTGTTTTTGAGAAAGGGGAAGGAGGAAACCAAAAGGATTCTCGGAAGCACCATACTTTTTTGTGGCTTCAAGTGGAAACCAAAAGGAAAACCGCTATCTTAGGGCGTCTGCTAAAATAAAAGTACATTCATTTTAGTGGAAAGTTTGGTGGAAGATCCCGCCCAAAGGTACAGTAAGGGGTCCCTCAAATTTATTATTCTAGTCTTCCACGCAAAAGGGAAAATGGCGGCGTAAATGGAATTCCAAGGCGGGGGGGAGGGCACTCTCCTAATTCCATTTCAAAAGGATGGGGGAAGCAAAGGGAACCTGCCTCAACATCAGCTGCGATGTCTGAGGTTTCGATCCCAAAACGCTCGGGGTCAAGGAACGTGCATCAGCTGCTCAGCTTGCAATGGACGCACGTTTGGGGAACCCTGTCCTCCACCAGCCCTGAGCCCCGGCGGCAGAGAGGCCGCACCAGGCTCATCCACTTCTCGTGCTGGATTACATTCTCCTGTATGTCCTTGGGTTTCCCTTCAATTACATCCTAGGTCCTCCAGTGGAGAGGTTAGAATAAGGGTACCTTTTTTTCTGTAGTCTATTTTCGTCGGGGAACCCTCCCCCTAACAAGGGTAAGAAGGCACTACTGGGGGACCTAGTATCAAGCTGAAAAGGGCACAACTTATAAAAAGCTCAGCCGCATCTGTTCTCGGAAGATACAAGTTGGCTTCCCAGACCCAACGAAAAGGACCACACTCTCAGGGGTCGTTTTATTTTCTAGATGCGCAAGACTGCTGAACGAAAAACGCGTCTTTGCAATGTGACTTTGTGCGTGAGACATGGCTCCGGCTCCCGGTGTGTTCGCATTGTCCTTGCAGGCATGCCTACTTGTCTTTGCACGGAAATACCCCATATCGGGCGCCTCGAACTCTCCGAGCCCTTGTTGCGGAACCCTTCAGAACTCTCCCGGCGCATTGTATTCTGCCCCGGCACGGCTCGATTCACTCGAGCATCTCAGAAACTCTCTGAAACTCTACAAATTCTTGCCGCAAACACTGCGAAACCCTGATTTTCCCCGAGCCTTTACTATGGCGGAACACCCCAAAATATCGCTATTGAGCCTGTTCTTCCACAAGCAGCGCAAGAGTCAAGGGGATACAATTTTGTCCAACTGCCCCCCAATATCAACGTCATGCGCAAAGCTGTCTTTTGTGCGAAATTCAGGGCTTAGTGTGGCTTTGTGGCCTAAATGCACATCAATATCACCCTGACACCCAACGCCTCTCCTTGTCGATTCTGTGATGTTCCGCTTGCTTGTGCAACTGGAAGGTACATTCTTCCATCGCGCTGCAGTTGGCCGAGTCCAGAAACAAACTTCTCGCCTTGAGCCTGAAGGGCACCTCGGACGGGCCGAGGGCCAGCTCGGAGATATTCATAGCGTCCCCGTCCAGGGCGATGCCCTGGGCTCCCTGTATCTCCAAGCGTTGTAGCTGGGAAAGATCCGGTCCACGCGTCCGCAGCACGCTGCCCCGAGGTGCGGCCACGGAGGACGCCTTCAACACGCCCAGAAGAGCCACTTTTGTCTCCACCTAAGTTGGTCTTTGATCCTGGCAAAAGCGACCTGTTTGCTTCTTCGTGGGCACAGAGTCATTTCCGAAAGGTCAAAAGCTGAAAGCCAAACCAAAGAGCAACCAAGTTTCCAACAGGCAGCCACCAGATTCGGCTACGCAATTCCGGCAAATCAGCTGGCCTGACTCCGACTGGGTGAGTCTTCTGGCATAGCCACCTCCGCCGCCGCCTGCCAAAATCAAACGTGGCCGTTGATCCACAAACAACATCATAAATGAAAGCTCGAACCCTTTCGGGAATCCCCGAGAAAATCGGCAGCACCAAATGAACAAGCTCCTTCCCAAGCGCAGAAACTTGCACGTGAAATACTGTGAAAACCCCTATTGTTGTCCAGTAAACGGGCATTTCAGGCATGACGCACAAGCATGGTTGCGTGCTTAGAGCTAGGTACCTCGAACAAACGACCTTAACTGCAATCGCTGCCTCTTCTGCACTGCTTCTGTTCGGCATCTTGAGCCAATATTCATAATGATTGTCTGCCTGCATGAAGGGTATTGTTTTGTGGCAGTCACAAACCGACACCATAAATGAGGTACACCCTTGCATAAATGAAATGATGGCAGTTCTGACCCCGTCAAAAACTGAGAACTGCTCATACCAAAGTGTCCAAATCCGAAGGGGAAGTCATGACAAATGGGAGGACCACACAAAAAACTGCACAACCTGCGCGGGAAAGTTCAGACACCGCCGGCCTGTCTGAGCCCTACAGCCTTCGAAGGAAAGGTTCCCGCTGGTGATCAGGTCTGTCACATGCGCGCCACCTGCGCCGCGAAACCACGCAGCCCCCAGGGCCCCAGGCAGCCGGAACCCCTCGGGGAACCTTCGCAAACGGCTGAGTGGGGTGTCCCACCGCGCGGCCAAAGAGAAAAAATTGGTCGCTTCTTCTCTGGGAACCCGTGGCTAAGCTGCGAAAAGCGAAGCCTTGTCGCTCGCAATAGCGAGAAGCCAACGATGCTCTGCAAACTGCAAAAAGTGATATATATATATATATATATGTACATATATATGTACATACATATATATATATACACATATATATAAATATGTTGTTCTAAATTACGGGGCTGTGGGAAATGACCACTTCTGTGATACAAGAGAAAGGGCTTCCCAAAGACTAACCCCCCCCATACAAACGGGGAGATGTCCTTGTATCACAGAAGTCGAGATAAACCCCTTGATCCCGCAACCCCGTGCTTTTAACTGTAAACACGAGCAAGCTGTGGGCAATGACCGTAACCGCTGGGATCCAGCACTCCCACATTCCTACCTCTGCTGTTGCCCCCCGAAACTGCAAACCTACTAGACAAAAATCATGCTACAGGAGATAGTCTGAGGGTTCCTTATACTCCTTGAAGAAAGCATGGCACCAAAAGGAAACCTCTGGCCGAAAAGGCGCAATCTTCAAGGAACCATTTCTCGAAAGCTCAGCGCCGCGCCTCCATGGCCTGCGAAGCTATCTTCGAAGCGCATGGCGCCCTCTTGCATCAAGCGCCGGGCAGCGAGGCCTAAGGCTCCCGCGGGGTGCAAACTGAAAGTCCCACATCGAGGCGTCGGCTTTGGTGCTACACTCGCTGGCTGAGTGGATGGCCCAAAAAAAGCTCAAACTATATATTTACCACTAAAATGGTCTTCCCAAAAAGTTTAAAGTTCATGAACTCAGGAAGTGAGTACAAGAACTGGGGGGCAGGGCTTACTCTGCAGGCTGAACACCTAAATGGGTATGGGTCAAGAATAGGGTAACCCCAAAATAGAACCCTGGTAAATGGAAACATAGACTAAAACCTGCGGTCCCCTAATTGTTTAATTTTGACTCATACCCAAATCGTGCATAGTACATCTTTGTTCCACGCCGATTGTGAGGCAAAACCCCGGCCTCCTCCTTCCCCGCGCGCTGCGCACTGGATGAAGCTCGCCTTTCCTGCCCTGCCAAGCCGGAAAATGCCGCTCAACTTTGCGTGTGCCCGAATTTGACCAAGGGATGATCGAACAAATCGCGCCTTCCGGCCCGCGCGGCTTTGGGGGCGACCCCCAACTGCCCAGCTGCACGGCGTACTGTCTGGAGCACGACACGCTGCCAAAATGAACCCAGCTGCCTTTCTGTTCTTGGGACCCCACGCCACATAACAACACGCCCCAGCTGCACGCGGAACACATACCTGCCATGATGATTTGCGCGCATGAAACGAAGCTGATTAGATAGTGACACATACTATGCGCTTAAAACACATGTAGAGAGTTCGAAGGCTTCTCGCGGTGCCCGTCTTGGTTGGGACTCTCTGCTACCCAACCTTGGGCCCTTTTCTTTTCCTCCCAAACGGCACGCACTTCTTGAACAACCCTCCGACCTCGCCCTATGCCCCAAATGGGCCGAGCCCTGCGACCCCATGAGCCCACCTCTGATGTAGAGTCTCCAGCCGCGCACCCCCGCCGCCCTGAGCCACGCAGGTCTTGAAGTTCAGGAGGCCTCCCTGCCATGGTCAAGTTGTTCCGTGCGGCGCGGTTTCTCATGTAGCCATGGGTCAAAAGCCAAATCGTACCCCCAGTGAACATCCCAATCCAACCACTAGAATAGCTTCTAAAACGGGTGGTGAACTCACCTACGCCCAAGTGGCACCATTGATTTTGACCCACAGCCATGTTCCACCTTGTAGCTGCAGCAACTCGTTGAGAGAAACAAGGCCCCTCCATATCTTAGGCGGGAAAAAGGCCAACTGAAGCTTTGCTTCTTGTGGGCTGCGGATGAAAGGCATTCCAAAGCACTGCGTTTTGCAATGTGTTTGTGCCAGGTGCATTCAAGCAAAGCAAAAATCACGGACTGCCAGATTTCGACTCATGGGTTGCAAACAGCCGCGCGCCGGGTCTTGGTTCTCGTTTTTGTAATCGCGCGATGTATAGGCTTCTTTCAAAGCTTGTTTTCTAATTGGGGGGGGTGTGCCCCCGCCAACCCCCCCAATTGTTTATGGGGCCGTTGTGCGACTTTGTGATTCTGTTTTACAATCTCACCAATTGTTCCACTAGTGTCCTTATTTGTTTTAAACTGAGGGGGGGCCCAACCCCCCGCTTCCTTGCAGACGCTGAGAAACTAAACCTAAACCCTAGCCCTAAACACCTAAACCTAACCTTAAGAACCCTAAACCTAAACCCTGAGAACCCTAAGCCTGAGCCCTAAAACTTGAAACCTAAACCTTAAAAGCCCTAAACCTAAACCCTACAAACGTGGACCTAACCCTAAACCTAAACCCAAAAAACCCTAAAACGCAAGCCTTTCCTTGACCCGGGCCAAGACGACATCAAGACACAATGCACAAAGCAAAAGGACAAAGCATGCAGTGGCTTCTGCATCCTTTGCATTGCGGCCAGCATCACGCATGTCTCTTCATGCCTCCCCTCTCCCCTGATTTGAACAGCTTTGCACGCCATGTTCCTTGATCCGAGCCATGACGCTATCAAGGAACGATGCACGAAGCACGCGTCGGAGCGCAAAGCACGCAGTGCCAGACTTGCATCCCAGCATCATCGCCAATTCAAAAGCACTGACCAGATCATTCCTGAATCGCGTTTCTTGACTCACGACTCACGTTTTCGCGTTTCCTGACTCACGTTTGCTGTTGTGATCTGAATCTAAATATTGATCGCTTTCATTCTTGACTTGCCTCCAGTTGTTTATTGACTCGCCCCTGTCCATTTCTTGACTCTTGTTTCCTGACACGGTCATTTGTTTCCTGACTTGGTCTAGTCTCGCCGCGCGACAGGCGTGCGGGATTGCGAAACATCACACTATTTCTTCAGGCAAAAACCTGCGCTCGTCTCTGCGAGGTATCACATGCTGCTCTGGCGCCTATGCCATGTGCAAATATTTTGTGGGGTTTCTTGTGCGAGGCACATATCAGCATGAAAGCGCCTACGCAAGCATACGTGATTGGAGTTGCCAATTCAAAGTGCCTACGCAGCGTGCGTTGTGACAAAAAAAGGCCTTCTCGAGTCGCTGCAAGATCCTTGCCAAGGACCCCACACCTTTTTGCAGTTCACGAGAAGGGGTCTTTATCTTGGCGGTTTGACAGCTTTTCAGTTCTGGGAACCTACGCCAGCTACAGCCATGAAACGATGGCAGCTTGAAGCGCTCTACTCTGCGCCGGACGTGGAGAGGGCCGAGCCATGTCAGCCAAAGAGGTTCGGATCAATTTGCTTCAAGTGACCATCAGTTCAAAACCGCCTGAGAGGCATTCCTCTGATCGGCCTTTTTTTTGGTATTGGTCCCTGGGTTTTGACCTGTCTTGAGAAGAGACAGATTGCAGCCTGCTTGAGCCTGTGAGCACGAGCTAGCCTTTTCCATTAGCGTGTCCCCTCGGGTCTGAGCTGCGGTCTTGGCTCTAAAGCAGCTGTGCATCATTCGTCAACATGTTGCGTAGCTGGGGGATTCAGCCCCCCAACACACGACTCGGCTCTGTCACGAGAGAATGAGTTGGCGGGTGTTTCCCATTGTGGTTGTTGACCCAGTGGCACTCAAGGGCACAGCAACCTGACCTTCACGAACTTCATGGGAGACAGCCGAACCACTTTCTATGGGAGTTTCCGCCTTTTTTCCCGCGGAAAACAGGCCACCGGCCACCGCCGCATGCGCGCCAACATCGGCAACCCCCAAACAAAAACCCATCGGCGGGCCTCCATGTCCAGGGATCTGGCGTTCAGGCCTGGCCGGTGCCGGCCGAACGCGAACCACGCCCCGCCCCCTCGCCTCCCTTCTCGGGTCTTCAAAAGAGGGTCCTCAAACTCGGGGCGTGAAAACCTCGGGAACTCTACCCATCCTCTTTTGGCATCCAAACTAAAACTCGTTTGAGCGCCCAGTGCGGAGAAAGGAACACCCGAAACGGCATGGGCACAAAGACTAGGAAAGCTGGGCTTGTCTAAAGCCAGGGATGCGATTTTCATAGGATGTCCCTTTCGACAAGCCCGGCAAACAAAAGCAAAAACACATATCCGTCCGCAACAAAGCCCCTCCCAGGTCTCCCAGCCGCTTTTCCCGGCCTCCGCCATCCATCTGTGCATCGCATTCGGAGAAATTCAGCTCGCCACCCCTCGTGCGTCGAGCAACGCGCTCAACCCGACCCTCACTCTCTCAGCGCCAGAAGTCTTCTTCAACGGGTGTCTCTGGTTGGCGGATCCCCTAAAATGGTGGTGGTCCTTTTGGTTTCCTTTAAATTAAAGCAACCTACCATGAAAACGGGTCATTTGCAAAGGGCGGACCGGCATCGGCACCTTTTGACATTTCCGCTTGTTCGCAACATGCCTGCAAGGTTATGTCCGCGGTGTGTTGAAAAGCTTATTTAGCATTGGTCCAACTTGTCTTGCCACTTAGGCTGTCAAAAAGACGGTCCCCAGAGACCAGTTGTTGCCATCTCACGCCTGAGAAGAATGGGGCCCGGTCTCCGTCTGTGGGGACAACGGGAGCTTTGCAACCTGCCGGGTTCTGCGGTCAGATGTTATTTTTTTTCCTTGCAACCCTCCATGCGTACCCAACAACCCCCCACTGGAGAAAACAAAAATCGCTGCGGGCCGCCTTGCAACCGCCCAGAACCCGACCTCCCGGACGCTATCGGAGGCCTCTGGAGCAAAGTGCCCAGCGATGCCCCAGCGCCGTGCCCGGAAGTCTTGCAGTTCTCAAGGCCCAAAAGGCCCTCCTAGACGGCGGGGGGAGGTGGGGGGAGGTGGGGGGAGGGCACGCTCGCCCGTTGACGCTTTGTGTCTGTGTGAAGCGGTCTCCATTTGCCACAAGCCCACAAAAACTGAAGCTAGATGGCGCCGCGGCACACCACATGATGAGCTTCAAGTACCTGACCGCTATGCTTCCTCCACGTGCATCACGGAGGTGTACGTTGAGCAACCCTCAGCATGCCATATATATATATATTCAATTCTAGGCGCCGGGAATTCGCATCTTCGGTCGTAAACAGCTGTCGCAACGATCTTTCCCGCCTTTGACCCCTGGCCGTTTGTGGTCATTTACCATCTCACCAATTGACGTGGAACCTGACGCTCGGGGGTCCCTTTAGAAGGAAAATGATCCAAACCAGGACCCCCCGAAAGGTCAGGTGCCATGTTAGATGGCGGGAGGGTATTTTTGTGCACACCTGACTGAACCCAGAGCTTCATCTTCAGTGTGTGCTTTGGTGGCTAGCTACTTTGCTGGACGGGTGGAGCTGCGTTCGAGTGGGAGGCTTTTCCGAAGGGAAGTAAAACTCAACTCACCCAAAGGCCCCGGAACGAACGTATCAGGACATAAGCAAAAAACATGCAGTACAGCAAACAAAACAAGACAAAGAAGCGCAGGCGTCAAAGCGGATACCAATTTTTGAGCGAGGAATGGTCCTGGACATGGGGTGCCCTCATCCCATCCTATCCTCTTGCGCAGCCGTCGGGGCAAAAGGGACAACAAATCCTTGAGCTTCAAGAGAAATGAGCATGGTGGAAGTTCACCCTTTCTGTGACACCAATATGGGGCATCCTCAAGGGTTGTCAATTTTGAGAACATGGGCCTAAAGCCACCCTAGCCACAAAAGGAAACAATCTGGGTCCTGCAAAACCAGGTCGCTGGCATTGAGGCAGCCACCATGTGCCCTGTCTCCAACACCGTTGTTGTAGCAATTCTTCACCACCAGGCTACCAGACACGGACAGCGTGCCACCGATGGTAAAGCACGCCTGCGCCGAGAGGAAGAACACAGGGGGATGGTTGCCGTGAACATTTACTTGGTTCTTCAGCCCACTCATTGAGTAGGTTATAACCCTGGATACAACTTGACCCACCCAGGTTAGGACTTTCTAAGTGGCTTCAACATCCAAGTAAAGGCTATCTTGCAGCACCAAACCCTAAACACTGACAATGCCATGGTTGCAAAGTAGCCTCTAAGTGTCCACGGCGAGGCTGAGATTGTTTCTTGGGCCGAATGTGTGAGCCTGCCCACGTGTTTTTCAATTCAAAGGGCGCTAAAGAACAATCAGTCATCCTCTGTCTGAACAAGCCTCAACTAAACCTCTTGCTCGCTCGAGCAAGGCACCAATGAAGGTCAACAGGCAAGCTTCGCTCGCAAGAATGCTAGGCTAGGGAGCTCCCCATTTCAATTTTCTCGACCTCAATAAATGAATCTTCAAAGCCATTCTGGTTCCGAGTTGGGAACCGCCGGGTCTGCAGCATGCCGAATGACCGGAAAAAATGCCGGCGGCCAAGGTTTGCCGCTCAGCTCCATTGAGCCACAGAATCTGCTTTGGGGAGTTGTAAAGCTATTATTTTTCTGTTTCCATTTTGAGAAGCCACGCACTTTCCCTGGGCCGCCACTTTCTAAGGACAGATTGGAACGGGGAGTTGACACGGTTGAAGGGCCCCTTACCACCGAAAAGGGACACACGCTGACAGAAGCCGTCTTTGTCAATGGCTTTGCCTCCGAGTAGACCATGTGGCTGGACACTTTCAAAACAAACGCACCACTCAGGAAGCATGGAACCCGTCGGGGCGGATGGATTTCATCACCTATCAACTGGTGCGAAATGGACTTCGTCCATCCCACATGGTTGGGGTCCTCCAAGTTTCTCCTTTACGCAACCCCGAAAATGGTGCATGCCCAAATGTGGCATGAAAACTCCTTATGTGCGCCGTGGTGATTGTGTCCTGAATGGAACCTATACATTGGTTGCCTTAAACTTAAACTCCTTTAAAACCAGTTGCTGAACATGGCACAAATGGGTGCGCCAAAAACAAGTCGGACCATTTCGGTGGCGGCTTGCGAAAGACCACCACACGACACTTCTGGAATCGGAATTCAGAGCCCCGCGCCTTTGAATAAGTAAGAAGGCAAACCACAAACTTTAGGGCTCGACCTGCTTTTGCAATACACGGATTCACCCAACTGACAGCAACACTCACATGAGAGGCAGTCGTTCCCTCCCGCCTGTTGGAACGCCCTTTTCTTGGAGATTCCGCGCCCAAGGAGTGTGAGGTTTCCTCGGACAACAGGATGTCCCTGATACACAATGAACCAATGGGTCGACTACAATAATTTCCGATCCAAAGCTATGGCTGGGACGATTCACCTACTTGGTAGCTGGGCGCTAGACAAACAATGAACAATGAACACTGTGCAATGAGCAGCTGTTCGTGGGTAAGCAAATAGCTGGAATCTTCAACTCCCAAATGTGGGGGT